AACTTTAGTTTAGTTTATATATAATCAAACATAATACAGAATGTGTTCATTCTGTGACACATGATCAAAGTAAGTTTTACTGACAGAAGAGTTTAATTCATAGACGGGACGGGACATTGTTGATTGACAGACAGACAGTCACCATGGTTTCTCCCTCTCACCTGCCTGCTGCTTTGTAACGTTGTTTAGTGTAAACCCTATAAATTCAGTTATCACAGCAGGTGAGCTTCGGGTGGAGAAGCTTGATAAGTAACTTTTAAAAACTGAGAGAGAGCAGAAAACACAGACAGCAACATTTTAAAGAATCTGTCTGACTCTCTGCAGACTGTCTTGTGTCGCTATCTGAGATGTAAATTTAACTGTGCAAACTATGCAAATAAGTTAACTGTTGCTCACGGCGTGTCGGATTGAGAAAATATCAGAACATTTGCATATAACCGAGATGGAGTTGTTTTTGCGGACTTTACTTTTAAGTTTCGTTTTCACCGCTGCGGAGCAAAAAAGGAGGGAGGGAGACGTGTCTGTGTAAGAGCATAAACTGCAGCATGATAAAATAAACACATTAGCCGGGTTCTACGATCTCTCTGCTTTGGCAGATCGTCAGCAAGTTAAAATCCTTCACGATCTAAGATCGTTATATCGCCCACCACTAATTCATGGCAAGTGCGTTTGTATGGTGTGAACTATTGGGAAGTTTAGGTTTAGACAGCCTGTGAGAGGTAAGAGGTTGATTTACTGAAGTGAAACTGATTCACACACTCACATTGTTTTTCTCAAACTTCCAGTTGTCCTCCTGAGCGAGGATCTGTTCGACCACAGACATAGCCTCACGACCCTGTCGGACAAACTCCTTCTCCTGGAGGAAGAGGAAGGAAGAGGAGGAAAAGAAAGCAATGGTCAGGCATGGTGAGGCGAGGAGCAGCGCAGAGTGTAAAGACTCCTCAGACTGATGCAGTACCTGAGCAGTGACGGCTCTGCGTCCAAGCCCCTCCTCATCCAGATCCTCCTCAGAGCCTGCAGAGTTCAGAGAGAAAGCTTGTGAATAAACCCGCTGACACAAACACACAGTACTTGAGGCTAAGTGAGCAGAAGCAGATCTGTAGAGACGAGCACACATCACCTGCCAAGGACTCAGGAGGAGAGTAGAACTGTCCGTCTGAAACAGCTCGTGGGTAGATCATGGGGGCTCGTTCGCAGGCTGCGTTCACCGCTGCGAGGTAAACTGAGATTACAACACATAAGAAGTTAAAAACTGATTTTTGTCGAGTCGTGTTCCAACGTGTCAGGAATCTCTCTCGCTCTCTTTCTCTCTCTCTCTCACCTCTCTCATCATCAGCCTCCTGAGGGAGAACCTTAAAGTCCAGGAACCAGGTCTCCAGCCAGGCCACCACGAAGGAAGTGATTGGAAGCACGTAGCCAAAGGCATTCTGGGAAAGGAGCTGAGGACAGAAACCATGACATCCAGGAGGTTGAAACTTGTAAGACTTTAAATACTGTTAAACTTCCATGACGCAGCAGTTCACTTCCCCAGTGTTCCACATGACCAGTTTAGAGGGCTGTTAAATGTCATATAAAAGCAACCAAACACAGTAAGGATACACATGTGCTGCATAAAACAGTTCAGTCATAAAAGTTCAGCTGCACCCCAACAAACAAACACACACACACACACACACACACACACAAAGTGTAAAGGTGCACTCACATTGGATACGATGACCTTCACAACAAGAAAGACGCTGGTCACCAGAGTGGTAATCTGTGGAGGAAGAAGGGGTCATAAGGATGTCCATATCTGCTCAATATGATTTCATTATTGTGTGTTTTACTGTAAATGAGATCACTCACCGCAATAACCCACCAGTGCTTTAACCGAAAAGCAGCGTAACCCACTTGTAGACAGAGGAAGCGAAACACAGCGAGAAGCTGAGACAAGGAGGAAGGAAGAGAAAAAGAAAATGAGCCAAGGCAATGACACTATCATGTGTCGCAGACATGCTGACCTCAGCTTAAGTTTGTCTCTGCTCCGACATACGACCAACGTTTGCAGCTCAATCAGACACTATAATGCAGGTTACGTATGAGACTTAGTCTGACACACTTACAAAGATGTCGAAGAAGGAAGACCGGTAGTTATATTGGACAACCTCTTTTTCTAAGCTGGCCCAGATTGAGCTGGAGATCTGCAGAACAGAGCACATCAGAGTGTTACCCCCCCCCCTCTCTCAGTGAACAGAACAATACACGTCACTATAAATCCTCGGGCCCTTCTGTCCGTTAAAACCAGACTCACGTTCAGCTCAATGATCCACAGAAGAGAGATGAAGAGGAGGTCAAACGTCACAAAGAGACAGAAGGTGCGTCGGACGTCGGAGATAGCGTTTCGCACTGAAGGAGGAACCAGCAGGTACGGGGACGGGAGAGACAAGGACGTGGAGTAGGAAGCGTTCAAGGAGGCGATGGCGGGGAGGTTCCCCCCGAGCTCCCCATAATCTCCACCCGGCATTCCTGCAGTAGGACAGGAAACTCGCCCTGCAACAAGGAACACAAACTTTGTCTGTATAGATGCTCACTGAGTCACTGCCCGTCTGTATTAACCACAAAACAAAGGAAATGTGCAGAAATAGACGCTGATCGTGAACACTCACTATTAAAAAGGGGATTAACTGAAAGGAAAGCTCTTGTATGTTCATCAGGAAAAAACAATTCTAAAGAAGGTAGAGCAGTGCAGAGATAATACTTTGTGGACAAACTTTCTTTGACCCATAGTGAACTATGTGACCTGATTTTTGTTGCTCAGTGAAGTTAAAAAAAAAAAAAAGAGTTTATGAACAGAATGTTTATCCATCAGTAAACTTCGGCTGGAGCATTTATGTAGAGCTGCTTTCACTTTGACATCAGACTTTGTTTATACCCATGAGACAGCCTGTAAAAGCAAGAGAGAGTGGCCTGTTTCCGAGATAATTGACAAATGTTTACCCAGTGAATCATCCTCAGCTTCAACTGTCTCTTTAAATAGTTGGACAAAGTGAACTTGATGTTTAAGCACGATTAGTCATCTGCTGTTTGTCTATGTACTGAGTAAAACAAAAACAAAAACAAATGCATACGCAGTGGATGTAGTCACCGCATTTGAACCCCAATTTGAAGATTCACACTGAATTCATTTTAAGTATAATCTAAACACATGAGTCCCCAAACCCCTCTCTTCTGCTAACAAAACTAACTTTATGAATTACTTCAGTCTACATATGGCTAGCTAACAAGCTTACCTACACCAATATTTTGAAAAAAAGGACAGAAAATAATCGCTAGGATGTTTGTTTTACACTTATTTACTCTGGTAAACAATCAAGAACCAGCTAATTTACCCAATTGACAGCTACTCTCGTTAGCTTACAATGGCTAACTTACCTCCGTTTGCAAGCATATTACTCTCACTTGCGAACTGTTACACACTAAATAAATGTGATATATATGCATAATGTACCAAAACGGTAGCTAACACTATGAAGAACAAATCAAAGCGTTCTTAAATTTGTGTTTTCTTACCTCAAAAGACTAACTTGTTTTACCGCATCACCGTCGCCTACCGAGAACTTCCGGGCTGACTTTCCAAAGAGATACTATCGATGCAAGATGTGTCACTCCTACATTCTATTACAACTGCGCGGATCTTCCCGTGTTCCCGAATTGTAGTTTCATTTTGAAAGTATTTCCGGGATGTCGTTCAATGATTATATGTCTGACTTCATGATTTACGACCTGTGATTATAACAACCAACACATTTATGATAATATAATATGACATGATTTTAAGTTCAGGAATTTATAGTGCCCTCTACATTGCGAAAATAGTTTTGGTTAAAATAAATATAGTTATTTAAATTAAATTCACACGATTTTAGACTCAAATTAAAATTAAAATATCCTTTATATTATATATATAATAATATTATTTGAAACCACCCCCATACATTTCTCTCCTTTTTATTATTTGACATCACCAAATAGATTAAAAAACTTTAGCTTAACTCAAAATAATTTACTAACAGTACTTTAACAAACAATACAAACAATTTATGACTTTCAAGTTTTTGTTGTTTGTTTCCGCACGCTTAAGGTATTTTCGAAAAGGAAATGTAGCCTGAAGTGTCTCTACTCACATTCACTTGCATTGATGAATAATGTAGTTCATAGATTGAACCACTAGAGGGCGGCGAGGACCTTCAAAATAAATCGCTCTATCTAAACAACAACAATATGAACAAGAATAGAGAACAAATAAAGGAAATCAAATAATGGAGGTAAAAGTATAAAAAGACGTGTCGAAATGCCATCGTCATTTCAAACCACAAAAAGTGCCGTTGCTAGATGATCACGATCATAAACTTAAAAAAATCAGCTTCTCTGTCAAGAGAAAAGTCCATTCTTTTTCCGGTTTCGTTAGAAAGCAGAAGTTTGCGTTGAAGTGCGCCTGAAAACACGTTTCTAGCTGGAAGTGGCCTAAGGAATGCATTATACAGTCGGAACATATCAACAAAAAGTCTTCATCAAAGAGAAAGAAACGAAAAGATTTGTATTTTTTTTTTTTACAATAATTAGATGTCATTATTGTTGGTTCCTTCTTTTTTTTTAGTTTTTTATTTGTTCTTCTCTTTATTGCAAAAGAGAAATTTCGCATTTCTGTCACTGAAATATTTAAGTCACTCAACAATTTATAGTTTCTTATATTTTAGTTGTAGTCTCACCTTAATAAATGTTACGCTTATTCAGTTTCAATCAGATCACTTCAGTTGAATGGACATTGTTGAAAGCTTTTACCTTTTTGAATGTTTCAAATTATATAAGCCAATAGAAAACAAATAATAATAATAATAACAATAATAATATGTATTATTATTATGTATTTATATATGTGAAGGTACGTCAGGAAAAGAAGAATATTTTTATGTCAAACATAATTATTTCAGATTTCCCACCCATAGCATCATGACAAGTTTAAAGGCGAAAAGGAAAACTCTTTATTTGATATCATATTGTTGCTCACTTTGAAACAACCACATCACATTGAGAAGCAATAAAACGGAAAAAAATAAAATAAAATAAGGAAGAATAGGTGTTAAGAGTTCACACTTGTCTTTCCATGTTTGCTTTCTTCTGGCCCAGCAGGAGAGGGGAGGTGGACAGAGGACGGGAGGACAGTGTCAGCTGCTCGTCCTGTCATCCCACAGGACAGGCAGGCCAGAGGTCTTTAAAGATTCACACCGTTTTTATACACAAACTGCAACCCAGAGGATGCAAACAGCATTTATTCATCCTGTTGCATCAGATCGTGCATCTTCAGTCAGATTTGATGTTTAATCAGATCAAACTAAAACATTTACAAGTTGTTGCAGACGCAGACAAAAGAGAGACAAATTATTTCAGCGATAAAAAGACAAGAAAAAGTGAGTGCAGACTGTTTAGCTCACATGTCATTCACACCAGCCGAGCCTGGTTTCAGGCTTTGTGCTGCATGCAGACTGCGTGTTGTGTATAGACAGTAGTAGAAACGAGACAGAGTAGACTTTCTCAAACGCTGCATGTTCTATTAGAAAAATAGCTCTTACAATAGATCCATGACATATTCATCGTGAGGCAATAATCAAAAAGATAACAATAGAAAAGTGTTAACATACAAAAGGAGATCAGTGAGCACTGAAAAATCCCAAAATGAGTCGACAGTTATGGTAAAGAATGTACATTATACTTGATTGATTCCTCAAAATGTTGTCAGATCAAAAAGAGTTCAGATGTGTGATGCTTCATGGAGGCTATGGTTATTATTATTATTTTTAAACAAACAAATAAGAGGTAGCTTTGCCCTTTAAAGATTACATTTTATTAAAAGTGAGATGAAATGACCATCACATCCGCTGCCTTTAAGCAATTACAGACAACATGTTGGTGTTTATTATTCAGTCATACATAAAGTGATACTCCAACCGATATTCAGTATTTATACATTTAACTAAAAGGTCAGTAAATCATAATCCCTACTGACATTTGAATCAATTAAATAAACATGAATTAAAGTCATCTTTTTTTCTTTTTTTTTTTTAAAGTTGCTAGATTAAAGTCCTGGTTGATTTGTACACATGCAGTAACATGGTGGTTCAGTCAGTTCTTACTTTTAAGCAGTCAGTCTGATATCAAAGAGATTACATTTATTGAACAATCGTCCTGGAATTATAGCTGCAACGTTTCCCATGAATCCCTCGTGCTAAGTTAGGAATATGAAAAAGTGGAACGCGCAACAAACAGCAACAACTGCACACAGAAAGTGAATTCATCGAACGACTGGAGTTGACTACAGAGAGCATTTCAACTGGATATCATTTCCTGAGCCTATTAAATAGAAGAACTTTTTACAACTTGACAAAAAAGGTCAATGGTTGGAGTATCACTTTTCTTACCACAAGGTGGCAGTAAATGCACATTTACTCACAGGGCTGGACACCTAGTGTGCTGCAAATTAGATCGATGCTGAGTTGTGCTTTGAAAATGCATGTCAGTGTTTATTTATAATGACTTCAGGAACTATTGAAAAGGTCACATCGGAGACATTCTTTATTATGAATGTGCCCAGAGAGGTTGAAAGTGTGTGTGTGTGTGTGTGTGTGTGTGTGTGTGTACTCTGTGATTGATGTGTTCCTCTTTAAAGGAACATTTCGCTGTGTGCAGAAGCATGAAGGTAGAGGGAGGACTGGTCTTACAGGGTGTTTGGTCATGTTGACCTTCACTCATCCACTCTCATTAGAAACAAAGGGACACGAGGGCCAAAGTGGCGTCTGCAGGCTGCTCTGTTAGTACATCATTCCCCACTTGCTCATAAGGGTCGAGTCCGAATACTCAGACCGGCCCTAATACGTCCTCTCTTTAATCCTGCTCGACCTTCAAAGGTACAGAGATCTTAGCTCCACTCACATGTTGGTTTCATGGAAGTATCGTTCAACAACTCCTCACACACTCACGTCCACTTAACCCCACACTCTCTGCTCGTCTGTTTCTGAGCGCTTCAGATTTGAACCCTTTCACTAAATACGCTTACTCTCCCTCCGTATGTTTGCCCTGCTCTCCCTCTCTCTCCCTCTCTCTCTCTATCTCAGTTACTCCCCCGACTGTTCTCCTCTGTGGCTTCTTTGATGTTGCCTCCCTCCTCCTCCTCCTCCTCCTCCTCTTCCTCCTGTGCTGCCGGGGTCTGCTTGGCCGTCTCGCTCAAGCTGGAAAACTTGACCGAGCGCTCGGCGGTCGCCGTCTCCTGTTGGTCTGAGGAGAGAAAGACAGATGTCAGGAGAGGCATTTTATCAGTGTGACATGTGGTGTGTCTGTGATTTGGAGTAAGATGCTTGTGGTTTATTCTGGTGAAAGAGATAATATAATGACTACATGTTGTGGAAAGAACACCAGTTAAAGTTTGGATAAGATTACTTTAAATAAACACTTAGTTAGTTGAAGCTCTCATTGGCAGTTTATCTCTTGTTGCTTGAAGACAAGTTATGTTATACAATGGAAGACATTTAAAAAGAAATGATATTTTTGTTGATTTTACTTGAATTGTATCATGATGTGTTCCTGCACACCCAGTCCAGACATTTTAAAAACAAACGGCACGAGAAGAAGACAGTTTGTGCTTCTACTTTGAAAGGTTTATTCCCCCACCGGCTCTGTGTTTGTGTCCAATGTAACTGAAGCGTCCTGATTACATTTTGTTTTCATTAGTTTGTCCTCCGTCTGTGAAAACACGGGCCGAGCCGTAACTGTAACTATGATTATGACTCGACTGAAAAGATGAAGTGTGATCAGAGGACCCCCATGAGGATCTTCCTACACCCTGTTCTAGTATTTTGTATTTCACAGGATTCATAAAGAGAGCCTGTGATCATATCTAACAGAGCAATAACATCATTCTGTTGCAAATAACAAAACGATAAGGGAGTGTATGTGCAAAAAGAATGTCCTTCAAATTCAGATTAGTGTTTCATTTAGTTTAGCTTTGTTTTTCTGGTGATCACATTTTTTGAAATTTTGCAAAAGTGCATAACTCAAACTTGATATTTTCCCCTAAAATATGAAACCATAGAGGAAGAACTATAAAAGGGAGTTGAACACAGACTTCTTTGGTTTATTCCCTCTATTTCCTCTCTGACTAGTACTGATGTTGGGTCCAGGCCTTCAGTCAGTGGACGGTTAAGGACGAGAGAAAGATGACTAATATGACACCTGGACCATCTCTCTGCACACAGACGTCCACCTGTCCTCCTGTTTGCTCCACAGAGGAGCTTACATCAGCCTGCAAACTACAGGAACGTTTTCTTCTCCAAAGAGTAAACTGCTCTACTGAGAGGGAATGATGTTGGTATTTTATTTTAAGTCCATTTCCAATTATTTTTCTATATTTCTATATTACTAACTCGATTATGATAGATTTGTTAACGTTTTGCCTCCCAGACTGAAACAAAGAAACACAATTATAAGTTAACTGACAATCAACTTAATCATGTTGTAAAGTTTGTTGTCTGGTAGAGATTTCCTAAACTTAGAGAAATGCAAGGCACTCGACATATAATCTGTCTGTACATGTGAGTTTGTCTCACTGTTGAAGCTGGACGTTGATGCTGGCTTTTTGTGATGGGAGGAACAATGAGAACTGAAATTTGACATGTGAATGTGTGCAGACATCAAGAGGACAAATATAAAGGAAAAGGGAAAACTGGACCGTTCATACAAACAGAGAAAAATACACCATACGGTACTTTTACAATGCTTCTCACCCAATTTCAGGAGAGTGAACCATGATTGTTAAGACTTAAATGTACAGGATTTGAAGTTTGAAAAAGGCAAATCTGTCAAATACAGAGGATTTTATTCAATGCTTCATTTCTTTTTAACACTTCAAACTCAGAGGGATCTGAACTGGGAAATTTGTATCTCACCAACTTGTCTTACTTTCAGTTTTAGGCAGGTGAGAAGACCCCATAAACAACCAATAAACCAATCCAATAAATGCCAGTGGTTCTGTGCGGTGTTAAAGTACCAAAGGGTGCACTTAGGGAGTAAGAGTTAAGAGTGTTTGTGCTGAGCTGCTGCCTGACAGAGAGCCTCCCTCTCTCACCAGCAGCCTTAGTGGGAGGTGTGTCCTCTCCTCCCGTCTCTGCCAGATGTCCTCCTCATCCACCTCAAAGGGGTCTTCCAAAGGGGGGTAGACACCTAGGTTCTGCATGTGTGCTTCAGCCATCTTCTGGACAGCTAATACACACAGGTAAACACAGCACAAACACACACACATGGACGGACGGGAGCACAAACACAAAACAGGGAAAGAGGGATTTGTTGTTGGGTTGTTGGGTTTGACCACGCTTCAACACTGCCAGGTTTTTCAAATTACAGTACATGCACAGACAGACAGACAGACAGACAGACAGACAGACAGACAGACAGACAACTGCAAGACGGTATCCCGCTGTGAAGTTGTTTACTATCAGTATTCTGTCTCCCTTCTGTTTATTTTCATCCTTGACTTTCCTCAGTTCTGCTGACTCACACTCCTCCCTCTCTCCGCCCTGTCCACTCTCCTAATAGTGATATTACCTCAGCTCCCACTCTCACTCTGGGTCACCTTGGCTTCTTCCCTCCATCACTCTTACACCCCTTAACACCCTCAGATACTCAGTGCGGCATTATCCTGGCTCGAGGTACGTTATGTAACTGGAAATGATTCTGAGGAAGTTCTCTCCTTCACTTTCTGAAGGGCAGATTTCTGATGCAATAAACGCGGCTTCCTGGGGTCATTATATCATCACTAAACATTCAACACACACACACACACACACACACACACACACACACACACACACACACACACACACACACACACACACACACACACACACACTCGCACACACACACACACACACAAATCCTCATTAAACGAAGGTCTGCTGACAGGCTCTGAAATGTCAATTTCTGCTCCTTTTGAAACCACATGTAACACACAGAAAGCCAAAAGCATAAATAGGCAAATAACGTACTTTTCTGTGTTCATTCTATCCTGCCCATATGTGTGTTCTTGTGTGTGCTCGTGTGTGTGTGTACCGCAGCTGTATACGCAACTGACTGTAATCCTGGATGATCCAGACTTTCCTAGACTCACACTCAGTGTCTCACAGCTGTCACACTCTAATCTCTCCCTTTCTCCATTTCTCTCTATCTGTTACACATATACACGCCCTGTTGTTGATCATACACTAAGAGCATCAAGACATGGAAACAAGCCTATGCATTATCACACATGTGCATGCAAAAATATAAGTTATGGCTTTTGAATTCATTTCTGCCCATCTGTCATGAGCATTTAATTCTTTTGTTTGCTGACATATCATGAAGCGTGTCAGAAATTAGAGTTAAGCACCACAAAAAACAAGATGGACTTAAACAACACACAAGGGTGAACCACAACAGAAAACCTCCAGCACGCACTGCTCACACCTACCTTTGAGTGAGGGAGGCTGGTACACGTTTGGATTGACACGTTTGGGTTTGAGTACTCCGTTTTCTCCTACGACCCACTGCAAACATACAACATCAGGCAAGATTTTACGTTAAAATTCTCCCAGGCATGTTTGAAGAAGTCAAAAAAAAAACTCTGCATTGTATGTTTGTGTCAATTTATCTCCCGCTTCAGAGTTTGCACCTTCAGCTGATGAAGGTACAAACTACACATGCTCAGTTCAACTCAAACATGACAATGAGGTAACAATGAGCAGGACAAAAACAAGGTCACTTTTTTTTTTTTTTTGAGTGTTTTCTTTTTCACTTATTTATGTAAAAAAAAAAAAGCTGTTTTTGCTTATGTAATGCAATATTTGAAAGCCAGTCTTAGCTTTTCAGAAATGCCAGTATTTGACCTGTGAGTGTTTTTAACACTTCTGTGCAAAGAAGCTTTCCCCAAACTTCTGGATTTAAGATTTCATGAGACATTATAAGTTTAAAAATCAAAAGTGACAAATCTTAAGCCACATCTGTTTTTTTCTTTCTGTGTGCTATTTGAAAGGTCAATAACCATTGTAAACATGTTGTTTCAAAGTGACATAAACAAAATACTTATGGAGGACGGATGTAGCATGCAGAGTGACACTCATTATAGAAAAGTGTGTGGACTTCACCTTTACCTGGTGGGTGGACTGATCATCCTCAGGAGATGATTGGTCAGCTACTCTGAACAGCGTGGCAGGTGTGGGCCTCCTGCGCCGGATCTTCAAAACAAACACACACAAACATAAAGGCCAGCCGTAAACATATTAATAATTAAAGTGGTCGAAAAAATGTTTTATTAATGATGCTCAGCACAAAGCCTCATAAATCAGATGGAAAATGTTCTTCCTGGGGCGTCGCTCTATTTCACTGGAGCTGCTGCCCTGCTGGCTGAAGGGTCAAAAAGCCGTCAGGAATGTTTCCATAGTGGATACCGGCCAGGTCAGAGTCAAGGTCATGGTCAGTGGATCACAGGAAGACTCATTATGTAACTTTCTGTTTTCATAGATACACTAACAGCAAATAGCACAGAAGGTTGACTGATGCTTTTTGCTGGAGTTTTAAATGATCCAGCTTTAAGAAGTTTTGATACAGGGAGTTTTAGAACTGAATTACCTCTTCACCACTAATGTAACATTCTTAGCATTTCCTTAGTGCTCCATGTACGCTCTCATACACCCTCACAAACAGTGCGACCATGGAGAAAAAAAAGACTAAATGAGCCCCAGCAATCAGCTCAGTCTCTTTCTTTTTTTTCTTTCTCTGCAGGTTTGAGAGTATTTACAGGGAACTCTCTGTCCTTAAAGGAAACGCTCGCCTCTGCCCCTCCAGCTCTCCAGCCTGTATCCTTCCTGTGGGACTGCACTCATACAGTTTGTTATTTCATTCAACAGCAACACCACTGTTGATGCAATTACCCACTTTAGACCTTTCAAAGTCAAGCTTCATTAAAAATCTATTTTGATATCAATCTTTCAGCCTTTAATAGTTAAAGAAAGGTGTCAGCACGTCTCGCTCACAAGGTACCAGGTCTGGAAAAGAAGATTCTTATTAAGCTATAATATATATTTTTTTAAATATTGGTGTTTTAAAAATCCTATGATGATCAGTAGTTCATTAATCAGAGTAAACAAGTAATTTCACCTGTGTATCTATGAATTGATTGGGCTTTTTATTCCTGTTGTCATACCTTTTTACATGATAAATGATAAATCTATTAATGAGCGGTTTTGTCTGGAGATTTATCAGTGATAAAAAATAATCAGTTACCAGACTTGCCGCACCGAAGTTTATTAGTCTGCAGGAATGGTTCGAGAAGTTTCTGTGGTTGGTTTGCTTCATTTTTCATTTGTAGAAGCTTGTCAAAATTGTAATCCATTGACGCCATGTTTCATTTTATACAACTTATGGTCTGCCCTAAAGAGGAAAGTGACTGATAGTAAATGACAGGTTCGGTGTATCACTTTCATTCTGAACTACCCTGAGCATAAAGTGCGGAGCCTTTGCTTCACATACAAAAAAGGTTCACGTGCAGTCCTCAGTGATTTGACTCACTTTCCAGTAATTCTAGATGATTTATAGCTGCCATCTATAACTCACTTTTGAGAAAATGTTGGATAAAAAGAAAAATGAATTATGAGTGCAAGCAGAGCAGCTAAGTGGACTTGGCTGCTCGGACAAACAAAGTATTGAAAAGCGTCCTCTGAGGAACGAGCCAACCTTGGCCATGACATGAACCGCCCCGCTGCTGTTTACGGCACCACACAACATCACAGGCAAGCGAGTTAAGCAGCCTGGCTCTGTTTTGTGTTCTAACTGCTCCATACGGAGGGATGTGTTTGTGTTTGGTTCCCCCTCCTCCTTGTTAAGCGTGGCGTGCGTCATCACAGCGAGGCACATGTTGCCAAAGCAGAGGCTTGCTGGGCCGCGTGGTGGAACGCTGCCACTGTCAAACACGACAACACAGAGTAATCGAGCGTGGATTTCTCCCTTATTTATGACACCAGACACACATTTTAATCCCATCACGCAACTTCCAGCTTTCCTGTCTCCACTGGATCTCTCACACTATCTGTCTTTCTGTCAGTCACCTTTCATTTCCGTCTCACTTGATCCTCGCTTCCTCCATCCTGTGTACGTCCGTATTTATCATTCATTACTTGTCAGTGACATTACCCTCACGTCTCTCGTCACTTCTCCTCAGTCTCATCACCACCATGATCTCGATTGCTTATACTACAGTAATATTATTTTGCTTTCTGACTCCTCCGTCTTTTCCTTTCCTTGATTAATCTCTCTATTTCTGAACATCCACAGGGCCTTCTTTCACCCCCCCCCCCCCTTTGTCTGCCCTACCTCTCCCCCAGCGAGCTGCGGAGGCCCGGGGCTTCATGCCGCTGTGAACCCTGCTGCCTTTTCCTGCCTCACACCTGCTCCCAGCCTTGCAGGGCGGCCTGAGGTGGCTCACATAGACCCACAAGAGAAAGCAAACACCAGATGTTGCCATGACCAAGCCTTGTGGCATTATATCCATTAAACTGGGAAGACTCCTAGAAAGGTCGTCAAGTCATGCAGACTAAGTGTGTTTTTTTAATTGTGTTTGTGAGGTTATATATATGGTTCTAATTATACACTTACCATGCCAACTGATTTCTTCAGGTCTATATTAACAATAACCACAGAACAATTCAATAATTAATCAATCAAAAAATCTACTTGATTGACAGGAAATGTATCTGCAGCTAAAATGCTAATTGATTGTGAAAACAATTGTTAAGAGTTTCAGCCACTATTTACTCTAGTTCTCACAGTTTTTGTTTCATGACTTCCTTATTTTACATTTGACTTTACTACAAATTTTAGGTCCAGTCTAAAACTGTAGGAACAAAAAGCTTTCACACCTTACACCAGCAAGCTTTCCAACCTTAGTGCTCTTATGTTTTATTATCATGATTCATGTGAAAGGTACATTCGGGTAAATTCTCTCTGTTATTGAAAATAAAGTTCTGGATCGATAGCCTACAGATGGCTTGCAACTCCTAGAAAATATTCCTAGAAACACAAACAATGGATCCACAAAAAACACATTTATAAAAGCAAAAAAGGGTTATGCAGTATGTTGGAGCTTTACCCATCTTATAAGGTGTCACTGAAAGAGAAAGGATGAGATTAAACATGTAAAAATTAAAGTCCATTTTCATTTAGTCAAATGGATATGAAAAATCGGAACGTGAAATGATTGTGTTGGTTAATTGAGGTCCATGAGAAGCTTAATCTGATGAACTTTTCACCTGAATGTGTGAACATAATGCCAATGTTTGTCAGTGTGAATGTGTGTGTGTGTGTGTGTGTGTGTGTGTGTGTGTGTGTGTGTGTGTAAATGCAGATGACTGTCCTCCTAATGCCAGCATCCAATCAGAGCGGTGATCTTGTGAAATGCCACGTCATGACCTCCTAGACCCGAAAGAAGAAGCATGCCCCCTCTCAGGTCGATGTTCTAACAGGCTTGTAAGGTAGAAAAATGAGATGAAAACAATGAAACCACGTAGGTAACACACATTAATGTGCTAAAAGGCCCAGGTGTTTCTATCTCTGTGTTTATGAACACAAAGCGATGGCTACAGTGATGGTGGCGGTGACGTGCTGCTCTGCCACATAGACAATGGCAGATGACATAGACACACATAGTAACTCAGTAATTTTCCAGTTTAAAAACCACCCTACTCTGCCTGAGTTACATAATATGTATGTGACTTCCTCATTTACGCCAACACTGGGGCACAGCGTGCCAGATTACTCCAGCTACGCTTTATCCCTCTCCCCCTCCCTCATCTACTTTCTAAACCCCTGCCCCCAATCTCCCAAACGCTCTCCTCTGCTGGCAGCCATTGTTTCTGTACCAGGATCAGAAGAGCCGCTATGAACTTGCACAGAGTGGCTCTATGCAGGCTGCTGCAGTGGCCTTTCAGTGGCTCCACAGGTGTACGCCTGCAGGCTGCACTAGTGCACTAGTTTGTCTAAAGATGATAGGTACATTTGAATAATCTGCTGACTTTGCAGTGAGAGGATGTCGTGAGAGAGGAAATCTTCTAGAATCAATTGAGCAGATCATCTAATCCTCCAATACCTCACTCTGTCACATGTAATGGTGACTTTGCACATGTATGATGTGTGAACATGTGTGTTGGCACAGCAACAGTCTTGCACAGGAGCCTGGGTGCAGATCCACTGATATGGGTCTGATCCCCAGTGGCTGTCCTCTGAGCTGGTACTCTCGGGGTCGGGCCTATAAAAAGGAGCATCAGTAGGACAGCATAAACTAGATTGGAGGGGTCTCTGGGGGCTTTGAGGGGATGAGACAGGAAGGCTCTAACTGCAGTTCTGGATCTAATGCTAAAACAACACATAAAGAGATACGCCTTAGATCTCTTTCCATGTCCGTGTAAATCTACTGTGTCCCACGGCATTACATCGGGCCATCCAATAATCAGTGCATGTCACCGCTCTCTAAAAGAGGTGGCAGCATCAGTCAGATCCATATGAAGCGAATAGATAGATATGGATTTGTACAAGATTGATTCGCAGATATAGAATCTGCCCATAGGGACATGAAACTACATCATTAAAGAAAAAGAAGTTGTGTATGTGCCTGACATTCAATACTGCAATGGAATCACTCACAAATAAGGAAAGGCACATGTAGTAAAATGTGTTCCATGAAACAGTGTTTGTTCTCCCTTTAAAAAGTATTTATAAGTTGTGCATCCATAACTTTTTCAGTCTTCAGTTCCTTTTTTTTAACTTTATTTTACTCCATGGGGCAGCACCTACGTCACTGAACCTGACAAATGTCACCACTGTTAGTCTCAGTGACGTTATCCATTGGTTTCTTAAGCAGAATTTTGAAGCTCATCGATGGCGGTCTCCAGATTGGGAAATGCTGTCTCATACTGACTTCTGTTCAACCTAGTAACAAGCAAAGAGTTTGAGCATTAAGCTTCATGACAAACAGCTACAATGCGCCCGTCCTTTCAGTCGGATTAGCCACGTCCATTACTATGAATAAAACGTATTGTTATCAAAACGGATGAGTTATAAAAAAAATGTAAACCCCCCTGTACAGTGTGTGCTTATAAAGAAATTAGCTTTTCAGACCAAATTTGTGTTTTGCCCTCGGCTGTAAACGTGTTTATTTCTGCTGTACAAATGGACATTTTAGCAT